TTGCAAGACACATGTCATCTGATGCCCTTTACCAAATATTCTCTTCTTGATCAATCTTACTTTTTTACATCATGTCTTTCCATAGCTCATATAAAATTCACCAATAAAATTCACCAACTATTCACCGACTATCTTTTACGACTACCATACTCAGAGCTGCTTGAAACACATCTTTTTCGCTCTCGGGCCAACCGTCGTCTAGTTCCATACAAAGTCCGTCCCCGAACCTCGATGATCTACCTCTGCGGTGCGACGGGTGCGAGACGGTCTCGTGTGTGGTCGGATCATCCTCGGATCATGGTCGGATCGGTCTCGGATCGGTTCCGCATTGTAAATGGGGTTTCAACTGTTTTTCGTGCATGTGTGATCGACAGAATTCCATTGTGATTTGCAACTGTAGGATCGTTCCCGCATTGTAAATGGGGTTGCAAGTGGTGCTGGTGGATGAGTTGCTGATGGAATTGCATTGTGATTTGCAACTCTAGGATCGTTCCCCTACTGTAAATGGCATTGCAAGTGGTGCTGGTGGAGGAGTTGCCGATGGAGTTTGGAAGGAAGTCTCGCACGAAATGCGTTTTTGAGAGATAGCAGATGCACGAAAGCCTATGTTTTTCCATACAAAGTGTGTCCACGAACCTCGATGATCTACCTCTGCGGTGCGACGGGTGCGAGACGGTCTCGTGTGTGGTCGGATCATGGTCGGATCATGGGCGGATCATGGGCGGATCATGCTCGGATCGGTTCCGCATTGTAAATGGGGTTTCAACTGTTTTTCGTGCATGTGCGGTCGACAGAATTCCATTGTGATTTGCAACTGTAGGATCGTTCCCGCAATGTAGATGGAATTGCAAGTGGTGCTGGTGGATGAGTTGCAGATGGAATTCCATTGTGATTTGCAACTCTAGGATCGTTCCCTCACTGTAAATGGGATTGCAAGTGGTGCTGGTGGATGAGTTGCCGATGGAGTTTTGAAGGAAGTCTCGCACGAAATGCGTTTTTGAGAGATAGCAGATGCACGAAACCCTATGTTTTTCCATACAAAGTGTGTCCACGAACTTCGATGATCTACCTCTGCTGTGCGACGGGTGCGAGACGGTCTCGTGTGTGGTCGGATCATGTTCGGATCATATTCGGATCGGTCTCGGATCATGCTCGGATCGGTTCCGCATTGTAAATGGGGTTTCAACTGTTTTTCGTGCATGTGTGGTCGACAGAATTCCATTGTGATTTGCAACTGTAGGATCGTTCCCGCAATGTAAATGGTGTTGCAAGTGGTGCTGGTGGATGAGTTGCAGATGGAATTCCATTGTGATTTGCAACTGTAGGATCGTTCCCTCAATGTAAATGGGATTGCAAGTGTTGCTGGTGGATGAGTTGCCAATGGAATTCCATTGTGCTTTGCAACTGTAGGATCGTTCCCGCAATGTAAATGGCTGTGTCAAGGTTGCTTCCTGCTTTGGCTGCATACGTAATACTATTGTCTTTTGCAGCTGGACTTCGTAAATCGTATTGGAGTGGCTGCATGAAGGCTGCGACAGTGATTTGTCAGTAGATTTTCTCCATTTTGGCGCTAATGATTTTCCTTCTAAAAATCCTTTTAAAAAGTGCTTCAAAATCGTCTTTTTTTCGCTCTGGCGTCGAGATCCGGTTTTGGAGCTACAATTTCTGACGCCGTTGCGCGTAGTTCTATTGTGTTTTGCAACTCAGTATCTGCAGATCGCATTGTAATGGCTGCGTCAAGGTTGCTTCGTGCTGTGGCTGCATTTGTCATATTATTGTCTTTTGCAGCTCGATCTCGTAAATCGTATTGGAGTGGCTGCATGAAGGCTGCGACATGGATTTGTTAGCAGATTTTCTCCATTTTGGCGCTAGTGATTTTTCTTCTAAAAATCCTTTTAAAAAGTGCTTCAAAATCGTCTTTTTTTCGCTCTGGCGTCGAGATCCGGTTTTGGAGCTACAATTTCCGACGCCGTTGCGCGTAGTTCTATTGTGTTTTGCAACTCAATCTCTGCAGATCGCATTGTAATGGCTGCGTCAAGGTTGCTTCGTGCTGTGGCTGCATTTGTCATACTATTGTCTTTTGCAGCTCGACTTCGTAAATCGTATTGGAGTGGCTGCATGAAGGCTGCGACAGTGATTTGTCAGCAGATTTTCTCCATTTTGGCGCTAGTGATTTTCCTTCTAAAAATCCTTTTAAAAAGTGCTTCAAAATCGTCTTTTTTTCGCCCTGGCGTCGAGATCCGGTTTTGGAGCTACAATTTCCGACGCCGTTGCGCGTAGTTCTATTGTGTTTTGCAATTCAGTCTCTGCAGATCGCATTGTAATGGCTGCGTCAAGGTTGCTTCGTGCTGTGGCTGCATTTGTCATACTATTGTCTTTTGCAGCTCGACTTCGTAAATCGTATTGGAGTGGCTGCATGAAGGCTGCCACAGTGATTTGTTAGCAGATTTTCTCCATTTTGGCGCTAGTGTTTTTTTGTTGCACGTAGGTTTAGAGCAGTGTGAAGTGTGGGGCGTGAAGAGTGCAGTGTGAAGTGTGCAGTGTGAAGGAAGCAGTGAGAAGTGAGAAGTGTGAAGTGTGGAGTGTGAAGTTTAAGTTTGGAGTGCGAAGAGCGCAGTGTGAAGTGTGAAGTGTGAAGTGTGAGGTTTGGAGTGTGAAGGAAGCAGTGAGAAGTGTGAAGTGTGGACTGTGAAGTGTGAGGTGTGAGTGAAGTGTGGAGTGTGAAGTGCGAAGTGAGAAGTGTGAAGTTTGGAGTGTGAAGGAAGCAGTGAGAAGTGAGAAGTGTGAAGTGAGAAGTGTGAAGTGTGGACTGTGAAGTGTGGAGTGCGAAGAGCGCAGCGTGAAGTGTGAAGCGTGAAGTGTGAGGTTTGGAGTGTGAAGGAAGCAGTGAGAAGTGTGAAGTGTGGACTGTGAAGTGTGAAGTGTGAGTGAAGTGTGGAGTGTGAAGTGCGAAGTGAGAAGTGTGAAGTGTGAAGTTTGGAGTGTGAAGTTTGGAGTGGGAAGGAAGGAGTGAGAAGTGAGAAGTGTGAAGTGTGGACTGTGAAGTGTGGAGTGTGAAGTGCGAAGTGAGAAGTGTGAAGTTTGGAGTGTGAAGGAAGCAGTGAGAAGTGAGAAGTGTGAAGTGAGAAGTGTGAAGTGTGGAGTGTGAAGTGTGGAGTGCGAAGAGCGAAGTGTGAAGTGTGAAGTGTGAGGTTTGGAGTGTGAAGGAAGCAGTGAGAAGTGTGAAGTGTGGACTGTGAAGTGTGAAGTGTGAGTGAAGTGTGGAGTGCGAAGTGCGAAGTGAGAAGTGTGAAGTGTGAGTTTTGGAGTGTGAAGGTTGGAGTGGGAAGGAAGCAGTGAGAAGTGTGAAGTGTGGAGTGTGAAGTGTGGAGTGTGAAGTGCGAAGTGAGAAGTGTGAAGTTAGGAGTGTGAAGGAAGCAGTGAGAAGTGAGAAGTGTGGAGTGTGAAGTGCGAAGTGAGAAGTGTGAAGTGTGAAGTGTGGAGTGTGAAGGAAGCAGTGAGAAGTGAGAAGTGTGAAATGTGGAGTGTGAAGTGTGAAATGCGAAGTGAGAAGTGAGAAGTGTGAAATGTGGAGTGTGAAGTGTGAAGTGTGAAGTGCGAAGTGAGAAGTGTGGACTGTGAAGTGTGAAGTGTGAAGTGTGGACTGTGAAGTGTGAAGTGTGAAGTGTGGACTGTGAAGTGTGAAGTGTGCAGTGTGAAGGAAGCAGTGAGAAGTGAGAAGTGTGAAGTGAGAAGTGTGAAGTGTGGACTGTGAAGTGTGGAGTGCGAAGAGCGCAGCGTGAAGTGTGAAGTGTGAAGTGTGAGGTTTGGAGTGTGAGGAAGCAGTGAGAAGTGTGAAGTGTGGACTGTGAAGTGTGAAGTGTGAGTGAAGTGTGGAGTGTGAAGTGCGAAGTGAGAAGTGTGAAGTGTGAAGTTTGGAGTGTGAAGTTTGGAGTGGGAAGGAAGCAGTGAGAAGTGAGAAGTGTGAAGTGTGGACTGTGAAGTGTGGAGTGTGAAGTGCGAAGTGAGAAGTGTGAAGTTTGGAGTGTGAAGGAAGCAGTGAGAAGTGAGAAGTGTGAAGTGAGAAGTGTGAAGTGTGGACTGTGAAGTGTGGAGTGCGAAGAGCGCAGCGTGAAGTGTGAAGTGTGAGGTTTGGAGTGTGAAGGAAGCAGTGAGAAGTGTGAAGTGTGGACTGTGAAGTGTGAAGTGTGAGTGAAGTGTGGAGTGCGAAGTGCGAAGTGAGAAGTGTGAAGTGTGAGTTTTGGAGTGTGAAGTTTGGAGTGGGAAGGAAGCAGTGAGAAGTGTGAAGTGTGGAGTGTGAAGTGTGGAGTGTGAAGTTAGGAGTGTGAAGGAAGCAGTGAGAAGTGAGAAGTGTGGAGTGTGAAGTGCGAAGTGAGAAGTGTGAAGTGTGAAGTGAGAAGTGTGAAGTGTGAAGTTTGGAGTGTGAAGGAAGCAGTGAGAAGTGAGAAGTGTGAAATGTGGAGTGTGAAGTGTGAAATGCGAAGTGAGAAGTGTGGACTGTGAAGTGTGAAGTGTGAAGTGTGGACTGTGAAGTACGAAGTGTGAAGTGTGGACTGTGAAGTGTGAAGTGTGAAGTGTGGACTGTGAAGTGTGAAGTGTGAAGTGTGGACTGTGAAGTGTGAAGTGTGCAGTGTGAAGTGTGAAGTGTGAAGTGTGAGGTTTGGAGTGTGAAGCAGTGAGAAGTGAGAAGTGTGGAGTGTGAAGTGTGGAGTGTGAAGTTTGAAGTTTGGAGTGCGAAGAGTGCAGTGTGCAGTGTGAGGTGTGGAGTGTCGAGGGAAGGACACGGTCGGGACAGGGTGTCTGTGAACTATAGGTCATTTATGTTTGGGAAACTTCCGCCGCCGGCTTGCCCGGGTCTATGTTATCAACATATATCAACATATTGCCAATGGTTCCGTGAGCCTGGATCAAAACGTGATAGTGCTTGGCGAAGCTCTTTTTGACTGCGCTAGCGATCCCGCCCTCTTTGAGCTGGAAACATGTCGGCCAGCAGCTTATGGTTATCCCCATGTCATGCCAACATGCTTGCTTCCATGACACATTTCATCGGTATGACACTGGTTTGATTTTTCTTTGGTTGACATGGGGGTTTTCCATGCTGCACTGTCTACATCATGTTCGGCTGATCGTGAGTCCGTCAGCACAACTACGGGAGCTTGTGCCCATTTTCTGAAGGAGTCTCGTAGGCTATGGCTGCGTTTTGTTAACGCATCGGCTCTTTGTTGTTCCGTGGGAACCCATCGTAGACCCCTGCAAGATTGGCGCAATGCCGCCACGTCAATCTCCACGCGCTTCTCCTGGAAGGTGGTGCTAAGCCTGTGGATAGCATCCCACAAACTTCTGGCATCTGTCACTGGGATCACCTCGTACATTGGTGTGGCTGTCGTTGCCTTGTATCCACCAAAGGTCATCTCGCTGAAGGTGCAAGCCAGAAAATTGCCCACATCGAAGGCACGGTCCAAGGATGCTGCCTCGGCAGCCAGTGTGCTGCGTAGCACTCGCTGATGCCTGTAGGATTTCCACTCCAGCATAGAGGCTTGCTGGGGTGTTTCCAAGCACTGCTTCGTGGTGGCTAACACCACAAGTCCACCTTGGCTTTTATTTCCAGGGGCATTTGCCCATCCAGAATCATCGTAGGCCACGAAGATCAGCTCGGCGAGCGGAATGGGGTTCACAGTGAAGTAGGCCTCGGCAGTGGCTCTGACATACTTGAGGACCCGGTTAATCTCTTTGAGATCGCCCACTGTCAGCTCACGTGGAGGTTTCTGCAGGAGCGAAACATCAGCAGCTAGGTCGCCACGTGTAGTTCCAGCCAACCATTGTAGGCTCCCAATGCCTGACCTGAACTCTGTGATCAGCTCAGGGTGGTCAGACAGCAATTCCTCATCCGCATGCTTGATGCGTGTCAGTTGCACATCGGCCACATAGTGCTCCTGGTCAATGCGGAAGGAGCCATCTTCCATGCGTCTGAGGCGACGCCCTGTGAACACAAAGTCATCCTTCTCCCACTCGGATCCCCACTCGAAGGACTGCTTGACGACCTCCAGGTGGTGCTCATAGCCGTTGAGGCAGCAGCAAATGATATCATCCACATGAATGCCCAAAACGGCCGTCACAGTTTCACCTTCGATCTGAAGGAAGCAGCAAGGATCCAATGAATGTTGCACCCAGTTCTTGTCCAGCAAAACGTGAAGAACATGCAAAAACCATCTCCTCGGTGCATTAGCTTGTCCATATACTGGAGCACTGAGGGCGTAGAGCAAAAGAGGGTGCCGCCATTCAGGAACTGAATCAAGTGCAATTGGATCTTGAGGTGGCTTCATGTAGAGCTGAGTTGGCCTCTCTGTGTCGGCCTCGCCCTGCAGAAACGCTGATTTGCAATCACCATTCCATAGTGACACTCCGTGAGAAGCTGCCCACTGCACGATCAGAATGAAAGTGCTCTTGGCCAAAACCGGCGCATCCCTGCTCAGCAGCGGCAGGTGTGGGTCCAAGAAGCCAAGCACCACAATGCGGCTCTTCGGCTTGAACCACTTGCCACCATCTTTCGGCTTCCAGCGATAGCAGATGCGCGATCGCAAAATCAGCTTCTCGTCAATCTCACCAGGTTGAGGGTAAACAGCTTTGCAGCTGGACCATTTCAGCCATTCACTCCACTCCTCCTGGTTGGACTTGATGAATTTGGGCCTGTCTTCTGCTGAGATTGTTCTCCAAGGCGTCTCCTTCTTGAGCGCTTGTTTGGCAGCTCTGCCCATACCGGCAGTCTCATCCATGTCGTTCTCCTCCTCACTGGACTCCGGGCCGGTGAAGGTCTGGGTCTCTGTGAACTGCACGCTGAAGCTGTCAGGTCTTGGATCTGCAGTCCATGAAGTCTCTTCCCAGGAAGGCCGCTGATTGTGCTCAAAGTCTGCAGCATCCTTGTTGACCTCAGGGTCCATGGTTGCAAACTTCTTGTTGGCAATGTCCGTGACGTAGGAGTAGTACACCTTGGAGAAGTCATCTTGTTGAAAAAGAGGTTGTAGCTCAGGTGGTGAGCCATCCCATCCAACAAGGTTGATGAGGTGCCGGCCATGTCGTCGTAGCCAGTGTCGCTCTCGACGACCAAGCGGATACCTCCGCATGCCCACTTTTCGGCAGCCAGGTTTGATGTCTGCCTTCATCTGGTGCTTGATGAAGAGGGTCTTTGTCGTTGCCGGCAATGCTTTCAAGTTCTCGTCCAAGGTGTCCAGGGCGATGTTGATGTCCTGGAAAACTTCTTGCCAGTGCCAGTCTGAGTCATCATCCACTTTTGTGGCTACACTCCACGCGCAGCTGTGATCTTGTCGTGCTCCGTCAGGAAGTTGTTGAAAAGCCTGCCCAACATCCAGCACGTAGGATTCATGCTCGTAGATCTCATCCATCACATCTCTGGCAGGGAGCGTAGTTTCCTGTACTCCAGCTCGAGGGAATTCAGACCATTGTTTGGCCTTGGGGACATACGCAAAGTCTTGTAATTGCTGAAGTGCATGGCGCTCTTCAACTTCGTCAAACCAATTTGTCACTTGGCGAGGATCGGTGACAAAGGAGCGCGAGTTGCACCTCACACACTGTGCAAATTCCAAATCATGTTGTTGATCTGCACAACCGCATTCTCCGCAAAAAACTGCAAGTACTCCCGCTTGTTGTGATTCTCCAGCAGGAAGTCCAGCAGCGGCAGATGGTTGTGCATCACTCATAGTGGGTTGGTCGCGTCCTGGAGGAAGACCAGATTGTTCAGCATCACGCTTGACACCACGTTGAGTCTCACTAGTCGACTCAATTGATGGCCTGTGACCAACCGCCTGGTCAGGGCTGAAGCTAGTCACCAAGCGTTCCACAGGTTTGCCATCTTGGGTGATGTCGCGCTTGGAAACCTTGGCCCAAGGTACTCGGTCTTCAAGCTTCTTCCAGATGCCATCTTGCATAGACCATGTAGATCTGAACTTGTAGTGCTCAGGGTCATGCTGTGGTCCAGGTACTGGAATGCTACTGGCATTCTCGGTGACCACAGTGGGTCGGCCATCAGGGTCCAAAAACCAGCCGGTTTCCACATTCTGAGTCTCAGGTTGTGGAGGTGGCGTTGAAGGCGCGGCAGCAAGTCTTGGCACCTTTGGTGTCTTTGGCACAGGTGTTGGTGAATCTGCCAGCATCTTCAGCCTTCTGGTTCTTGGTGTTGTTGGCAAGCTCACAGCCGGTGCAGGAAGGGCAGCAGGCTCTGCAGCCGCATCTTGAAGAGGAAGTACAGGTAGTAGAAGAGGTGGAACTTCTCCCGCTTGAGGTTGAGGTTCACCAGCTGCATCCAAGATCAAGCGATCTTCATGCTCTCGAGGAGCTGGGCCTCGCTGGTCATGAGCTCCAGCAAATTTCTTGCTCAGATCTTCTTCTGCAGATCTCAGCATCTTCAAGTCTTCCATCGATGGTGTCCACAACTCCTCACCTTCAACTCCTCGAAGTTGTTCGCGGGCCACCTGCACCAAGCGTCCACGATTGTTGCGGACCCAAATTGACCCTGTTGGTGAAGGGTCGATGCCAATGACAATTCCTTGGCGATATCCTTCAGCTGTGCCCTCACCATCCAATTGGCTTTTCTGTCTGAAGTAAGCCACACGAGCCCCAACTTCGACAGGACCCCTCCAAGGTCTGGACTTCCGCAGCACTGCTTTGCGGAGGGCTTCCGAGTGCTCAAACTGCAGGTACTGCAGCATGGCTTGAAGTCGTTGTTCTTCAATTCTGCGAAGCCTCTCGCTGTCACTGATCACCTGCTTGGCCTCAATGGCATCAGGCTCACTCAAAAGTGCTGTTGGAACCTTGGGAGCACGGCCATATACCCATTGACATGGTGAGGCGCCAGATCTTCTGGCCATCGTGTTCTTGGCAAAGCAGGCCATGTTTGCAATCTGCTGCATCTCATCAGCGGTCGTCACCGCAAACTGGCTGATCAATCGTTTCATGATGTGCTTTGCAGCTTGCCCATGCCTCTCTGCCTTGCCAATCTGGTAGTGTGCGTCAGGCGGCACAAACCTGACTTTGATGCCCGCTTGGGCGCACATGACCTCAAAGTCCCAGCCACGCATTGCACCCTCGGCGTCCAGCAGCATCTCGTCTGGAAAGCCGAAGTACTTGAACCATCCTCTGGATAGCACTTGTGCAACTTCTTCAGATGTTCGGCTGGTTAGGAGGTCCATGACATGGTAAGTGGTGCCATCGTCCACCTGGCTGAGGAAGGTGTGCAAATGGCTCGTCACATCTCTGACGAAGACCAGGTCCAGCATCAGTCGGTCTCCAAAACGTCGGGCTTGGAAAACCTTTGAAGGCCTTGCCGTTGAGGGAGCTTTGGTTCGTTCACATACTCGGCAATGTAGGTGCTTTGCAGCCAGAAGGGCTTCACCACTTGCTCCTGCTTGCGCCAAGTGCCGCACCAAAGCTTCTTTTCCAGGATGTCCCAAGTTCACATGCACCCGCATAAGCACTGACAACATCCAGCGTGGAACTCCTTGATGAAGTCCTGGAAAAGTGATGTCTTTTGCACCAGGCTGATGGGGCATCCACTGCTCCTCCGGCTCAAGGTGGGACATCTCAGGCGTCGCTGAAGACGAGGCCCTTGGCTTGGATGGTTGTTCATGCTTTTTGTTCTCGTCAGGGTCATAGCTGGAGCTGGGCGCCTCGCCATAGATCAAGAGGCCATAGGCCACGGGCGTGTCAAAACGCACACCTGAGTTCTTCTTGATGTCATCGACCAGCTCAGATTCAATGTGAATGTGGCCGGACTCATACTGCAAAATCGCCGCTCTGTGGGTCACGGCCTCCCGTTGCATCAGTTGAAGTGGTAGCCTTCGAACTTTTGGAGAGCGTGCGATCTGCACCAACTTCAGTTTCCAAGGCGCCAGTTGTTGAATCTGCTCATGGTAAGCCGTGTCTGGCTTCACTGTTGCCGTGGCTTGCACCTTTTTCTCAAGCCGTGCGCGCGCCTCCATCAGCAGAGGTCGCCAGGCTTCTGCATTCTGGTTGACATCCACATACCAAGTAGTGCTTGTGGTCGTTGAAGTCCACATAGACCAAGTTGGCACGGATGATGTCGCCCATGTAGAAGAAGTAGAAACCCAGCTGGCATAGCTCTCGCTGTGACGCAAGCATCGTTCATCGCCTCGTTGTTGAAGTGCAGAAAGAAGGCCTTTCACCACAGCACGTGCCAACTTCTTCGTGTAGATCTGGGCTCTGCGAGCGTTGCTTCCTAGGCAAAGTTCATGATCATGATTGCCTGGGCATGGAATGGCAATCTCATCCAGCACCTCTGTCAAGTCGCTGGCCCATCCAGTGTCTTTGCGAAGCAACTGTCCATTGCCACCACGTAGACCAAAGTTGCACATGGAACCCTTCTTCAGCTGCACCCCAGGTAGTTGTAGAACAGGTTGAAGTTCAGGTTGTTCCCAAAACTCGGTGCTCCAGGGGTTTTCCAAAAGAAAGTGGCAGCCTTGATGATAGAGCTCCACAATGGTGGTGGCCATCTCACGGAGTGACAACCTATGTTGGTCGCGCAGAGTCTCAAGCTCTTCAGGGCTGTAGTTCAAATGTTGGATGCGTGACCAGGGATCACATCGTATCTCCCAAAGTGAGAGAAACGGCTTGTGCCGATGAAGTAGTTGCCGAAGTTGTTGATGGTCGGCTTTGGTTTCCAAACTGATCCCATGAACTTTGTCAACTGGTTGCATCACCTTCAGCCCTTGTCGCAAGCCCTCTTCGGTGATGTTGGCAAAACCTCCATAGATGTCCACCAGGTCACAGCCATGCCGCCGCAAAGATCTGGCTCGATCAACTTGTTGTTGGTATAGTCGAGCTTCCACGGTCAGTGCTTGCCTCACAGACCTTATAGTTCCAAGAAGCCTCTTCTGAAGACCAGATCGCAGTGGCATCCAGCCACGGTCCTCCTTGGTCAATGGCATGTCAGCTGATCCCTGTAGTGGGTGCGTATTGGGCTTCAACCGTCCAAAGGTTGATGCAGTTCCTCCTCCTCGTCGTAGTACTCGTTCTCGATCTCCTCCTCCTCTGGCTCCTCCTCGTAGTTCTCCTCGTCCATGTTGTAGTGCGCTGCGCGTGCCATCCAGACATGCTCGCCGCTCGTGCCCAGGGTCAACTCCTCCTGCTGAGGTTCCATCTTTGCCAATGGTCTTCGCCCTGGCATCACCCTTGAGCTTCGAATTGACGGGGCATAGGAGATCGAAGGAGCTGGTTGCTGTTGCGGATGTTCTTGAAGATCCCAACTGCCCATACTCACATCATCCATCTCGGCCACTTGTCGGGCTGCCAGTGCTTGTGCCGTCAGTCGGACTGAGGGCTTGGCCTTGGCCTTGGACGTCTGGACACTCAGAGAGCGCGACTGTGAGCGCCGCGCACCAGCTGAAGAACTTCCCCATGGTTCGGACGAGCTTGCCCGTAGTCCCTCTGCTAAAGCCATCGCGCCCTGAGGCTTCTTTGGGAAGTAGGGGTCGCCGGTCTTGAGCCCCAGCGGTGTCTTCGCTGTTGGTGAGGCTTTTGGTGCACATAGGATCAACGACTTGTCCTTGTCCTTGCTCTCTCGCCATCTGTTGCCGCAAAGGTCGCAGATGTGCACCTTGTACCCGGCTGCCCCGTAAGTCCTCAGGCCGCTTGGGTGGCCGCAGGTGTTGGGGTCGTTCTGATAGACCGCCGTGCTGTTCTTCTGCACCATGGCCGCGGTCACAGTCTTCAGCATGGTCACCGCCGTCTGCGGAGGGAAGTAGCTGTCCAAGATGTAGTCTTTGATCTTTGGTCTCATCGACGTTGCCGCATAGTTGAGCACCATGGTCTGCACGGCGTACAGGTGCTCGAGGAAGTTCACCATCAGGTACTTCCAGTTGCGCAGCCATCGCGGAGTGTTGAGCGACGGCGGCATGAGGTGGTCGACGAGCCGGTTCACAAGCCACATCCAGCTTGTTGATCTTGAGAGGAACCGCATCAGGGATGAAGACATCAGGCATGCTTTGCTCACTGAAGCTCAGGGGCCAGTCAAACACTTCGTCTGGCCATTCATCAATCCGGATTGCAAGATGACCGGATGCCAAAAAGAGTTTGGATGTTTTGTTGAGGGCACGGTAAAACATGACTCCCTTTCCAATGTCAGGCACTGCACCAAGAATCTCAAATGCTGGTCTTGAAAAAAGTGCTGGTGCATCACATGAAACTGAACTCACCCCCAATGCCACCATGCTGCCTCCAAGTCCTGCTGGATAGGCATACCGCGCTTCGGCAGGTGTACCTTTGTGAGGCCCGAAGCTGAAGGAGCATGAATCATGAAACTTCACCGGGGTCAGGGGCTGGATGCTTCTTTGACGAATCCATGCCACCTGGAACCTGCCACCTGTCTTTGGCAACCCGTATCTGCAATCATCATACCACCCTCAACATCGTTCACCGACTGCAAAAGGATTTGGGGATTGTCATACAAAACGTAGGGCTTGTCATGTTCATGAACAGCATGTGGTGTGACCATGTAGTTCTCTGCAACAAACATGTCAAACTCATGAACATTGGGGTTCTTGACAACTGCATTGGATTCAGGGGTCTCGATCTCTACAGGCAACATGTCAATCTCAAAAGCTTGGGAAAACTTGGAAACCGCAATGTTGTCATGAACATGGGACTCGACAAAAACTGCATCGTTCTGAGAAACTGCAATGGGTTCAAAAACTGCAATGGTTTCAGAAGCGGCAATGGATTCAAAAACTGCAATGGATTCAGACAGGATGTTCTCTTCAGGGATGGCCACATCCACAGTCACGCCTTTTTCCTCAGACTCGCAGCACGTGACAAAGCCGGTGTGCTGGTGACAACCCAGCTGCTAGAGTGATCCACCATGCCATCCACGTCCAAAGTAGTCCCAACGGTTGTCAACTGAGCTTGGTATGTTCCAACATTGGGACAGTCGCGCAACCAGTGGCCTGGTTTGCCACATCCCAAGCACAAGGACTCCTCAATGGCCTTGCGCTGCATTGCAAAGTTGCCCTTGGTAGGCATCGGACCAGGTTTCCCCTTGCCTTTGCCCTTGAAGTGCTTGCCCTTCTCAGACATCTTGCCCTTCGACTTGCCCTTGCTGCTGGTTGCTTTGCCAGAAGCTTTTCCCTTGGACTTGTCCTGATAGAAGCCCCTGGACTTGGTGATTTCGGCCAAACGCCGGCTAGTCACCGTCAGGGCCTCCACAACGGCTGTCAGGTCAGGCATCTCAGCTTCACCGCCATCGGCAGCATGCTCCGTCTCATTCTCAACGGCCTCCTCATCGTAGACCACGTCGTCATACTCCTGGTTGTTGGAGTCGCCAGCTGCAGCATCTTCAGGTGGGGCCTCAGTCACATAGGCCTCATAGCCATAGTTGTCATCCCAGTGCTCATCATATTGATCTTCTGCTTCAGCTTCAACATGCCATGCTTGGCGATCACGCACAGGTTTGCCTCCACGTCGATGCTTCTGGTTGTGAGGTGCGGTCCTACGACCATTGAACTTGTTGGGGATGCCAGTGACAGACATGCCCGGCGGGTACTGGATGCGGATTGCCTCCAAGATCAGCTTCATGTTGTACTTGTTCCCGGCTGCCAGCAAAAGCGATGCCGTGGCACGTTCATCTAAACGTAACCCATCCAGCAGCTTCACCACTCGGCTCTCTTCAGGGTATGGCGGCACACCACCATCTTTCAAGCGACCTTCAAGTAGTCGAAAACGACGACAAAACTGAGAAACGCTTTCACCCTGAAGTCGGCCTATGCTCTCATACTCCCTGATGACTCCACCTTGCCTGAAAAGAGGTCGTTCACCAAAGCTCTCATCCAAGTCCTTAAGGAGAATGCTAATGCCGTCCGCCACATTGTAGCGGGAGTCAGGGACCTCAGCAAGCTCCAACTCGGCTTCGCCCTTCAGTTGCTCTCTGGCTCGAAGCGCCTGCTCGTTCTTTGGCAGGAACTCCTCAGTGATCATGCACCATCGCTGCAACCGCTTTCTGTAGTGTCTAAGACAGAAAGGATCGGCATCGATGTCGCCGTCAAAGATTGGCGCCATTGGTATGGCACCTGAACGCCACTTCTTGCCACCTGCCCCAGAGCGAGACTGGCCAGAGCCTCTAGAGCCTCTAGACCTCTTCGACTTGCCTGAGCCTTGTGAACCTTGATCTCCACGTCTAACAGAAGGGGCACCTCCATCTTCAGGAGCACCTCCATTTCCAACACTAACTTCATGGGATGCGCCGTCAGATTCGGCAGCATCAGGTGCGCCACCTGTGAAGCTCTCCTCGGACTGCTCCTCGTCATAGTTCAACGGCACGTCCGAGTCAAACTCCATGAGTCGCACCAGGCAGAGCAATCGCCGAGCACAACGCCCAGGTGATCGCTACCAATGCCAATGGTTCCGTGAGCCTGGATCAAAACGTGATAGTGCTTGGCGAAGCTCTTTTTGACTGCGCTAGCGATCCCGCCCTCTTTGAGCTGGAAACATGTCGGCCAGCAGCTTATGGTTATCCCCATGTCATGCCAACATGCTTGCTTCCATGACACATTTCATCGGTATGACACATATATCAACTATAGCCACATAGATCATATAATATAGTTCTAGTTGTTACTAGCTATTATCATCCAGAATATACAGTTCCACCCTTCAAAAAGATCTTATCAGTCACCCCATCAGTCACCTCTGATTTTTTTGGATCAAGTCCTAAAGTCACTATGTCTTAGGGGTACCCGGCCTGGTAAACATACAAAAAGCTATTGAAAATGGCCATCATGGCCATAGAAATAGTGGATTTACCCAGCTATAAAGATGGTGATTTTCCAGTTCGTTTTTTGTAGGTTTACCAGGCCGGGGATGTTCTTCCAGATCTGACCATCAAAAAAAACAAAAAAAAAAAACCTGGCGCCTGGTCCAGCAGCAGAACTCGACAAAACCTGGAGCAACTGGTCACTTTGCCCAGCTGCCGCTGCAGAAGCTGCGCGAAATCCTCCGCCTGCAGCGCCTCCGCCACGGGAAGCTCCTGGGAGGCGGTCTGGTGCCATGGGAATCGCTGACTCTCATGGAGTTTCCTCAAATTTCGCGTCCAAAGTGAGGGATTTAACTCGGAATGAGAGTTAGTAAGTGGTCTATCATCCACATTTCTTAACCATATAACTGGGCATATAAACCATATTACAGTTATTACGTGTTACCCCGAAAAACCCACGATGCCCCAACGGTCATCCCAGCATGAAAAATGATGGAGGGAAAGTCAGTTGGGATGATGACATTCCCAACCAGATAGTGTTTGAATGATTGTGAAAATAATGGTCAAGAGATTGATGTTACTCCTGCAAAACTGGGCATGGCACACACATATATATAGATATCCATATATAGATATCTATATATAGATATCTATATGTCGCTTCACATTTGATCTATGATAGGTCCTGTTCCCCACCATTGAAGTGGTCGATAATGTCGGCAAATCTCAGCAATAAGCTATATATGTGGATCCAGTTGATGGTTGTCTACACCTTGCTCCAAAACGTTGACTAAGTTTGGGTTTATTAGTTTATTAATTGATTTACCACGTTAACCCTAAGGATTGACATGTTCAACTGGAAAATAGGATACAACCATACAAGGTGGTGCCCCCCAGTGATGTTAGTTGGTTTATAAGCCCATTAACTATAGATATATCACCAACAAAAACCATAGTGAAATTGGAGTTATGTTCACCAACTTAGCTATCTTGGGGGCACCACCTTGTAGTTATAAGCTATGGGAAACCCATGGATACCCCCCAGGCATCGGGGCCAAGCTGCCAGCAGCACATCCCCCGTGACGGCCGAGGCGACTCGCACCATGGGATCCATGGTAGGATCCAACGGTTTCATCGTGGACAACCCCAACGTTTCACCAACGTTTCACCAACAACGTAACAGATGATAACAGTATTAGTTGTTCTCGGATTAAACAGTTTTAAAAAAAAGCAATACCAAACCTTGAATTTGATCCAGCTGTGTGTTTTTTAACAATGGTTTGGGGTTTAGAAAATGACAAAACCACCTGACCAGGTTTCAATTTGTGCGTTCGTGTAGGGGGGTCTTCGACTCTTCCAATTTTCAGGTGTTTCTCGTCCTGGTATGCGCTGTTTCGATGTCAAAGTCACAGAGCACCCAATTGTTGGAGCACAACAGTTGCTGTAGATTGCCACGGTGGATTTCCCCCATAGTTACCCTCTGGTAAACATACAAAAAAACTATGGAAAATCACCATTTTTAATGGGTAAATCAACTATTTCTATGGCCGCTTTCAATAGCAAACTGTTTGTTTACCAGAGGGTAGGTTGTTGTTTGAAGTAGCCAACACTTGGAGACATGAATTTCTGGCATTTCCATCCCCGAAGCTAGCGCCAAGACGGAAAAAAGGACCAGGAGGTTTCCATAGTCATGGAGGTACCCTAATAGCTGGATAGTTTATAAGGGAAAATCCATCTATAAATGGATGATTTGGGGGTACCCCCATGACTTAGAAAACCACCATATCGATATATCCATTAAAACTCCAATGTAAAATCGATCCAAAATTGTGACATATCCGGATTTACAATTGCTAATTCCTCGAAGAGTTGCTCCCAAGCCAATGGATGCTCGTCTAAGTGACACTGTGGCAATGATTGCAGGGTTTACATGGGTTTACATCCCAACTTATTGGGAATACTGCCATGGGTAACACCCATTCATAAAGCCAATGCACCCCAAAGTAGTCATCTGTTCTCATTCCCATCTGGTAATGACTAACAGTTTGCGAACTGGAAAATGGTCATAGAAACAGTTGATTTGCCTATTAAAAATGGTGGTTTTCCATGGCTTTTCGTAGCTAAACACCAGGCCGGCTACTTTCCAACCTTCGACCAAGTTTGATTTTAGTGTTTTGAACCCATGGCGGGTTCATAAGTTGCACTGGACCATGGCTTAGGCATCTATGTATATGTGCATGTGCAATGTGTATATATCTAATTATGTACATATATGTATATATATAACGGCAATAAAGTTATCTAAGATATATGGTGGATAAAAAATCATTTAAGGTGGAGCCAATTTTTCGTTAGCCATGTTGGTCTATAACTCCAATAACTACAGTTAATGGCAGATATATCTATACTTACTATGGTTTATAAACGAATTTAATTGGGATTTATTTCATCATGATTAACGTGGTAAAACATGGTTTTTAACAATCATGTGGTAATATTCATTAGTTAGATGGGGTTTTCTAAACGAACAAGTCAATGACTTGGGTGCTCCCTCTCGCAGTTCACCATCCCAGTTTTGGGCTGCAAGTCATAGATTTCTTGTGATCTTTGAGAAGTAAAAAAAAACACAATCAAAACAAACACGATTTGACTATATTAATGGATATATATATTTGTTTTTTTGTTAGTCTGAGTTGGTATCTTCACTACTAGATCAGTTTTTCGTATGCTCCCCTATATATGTATACATATATACATATGTATGAATATTAAATCATTGTACTTTTTTTATTGAGTTAGCAGGTCCTATTTATTGTGGGACACCTCCCATGACTCGACCAGCCAGCTGCCAGTTCGCAGTTTCTGTGGGGCATTACCACAGGGTAGCACTTGAAAATGTCCAAGCTTTATAAATATGTAATATATATATATATGCATACTGTAGATAGAATATAATTTAGAGGATTTTGTCGATTATTCCCAGAATATTTTTTTGAGAATTCCATACTGTAGAATATGATAGATATTAATGAACATCCTCTATAATAAATTTCCCAGGTCGAAACCTCCATTTCTCTCGGTGCATTTTGTCCAAAAAAAAAACGCCCAGCTGGGCACTGGGCCTCCGAACCCCACTGAAACGGATCGACCTGTGCTGGTTGGTATATAATCCATGGGTGTATATATATATGTATATATATATATATATGTATGTATATATATGTATGTATATATATATATGTATATATATATGTATATGTCTTTAGGGAAATTCATAGTTCTACATAATCAATCCACCAATAATTCATAGTCTCCGTAGGTAATTTTAGATTCAAAAGACATTAATATGTTTTATGGACCTGTGGGAAAGATTTGCCCGTGAAATGCTCCAGGAATGAGTTTTTCGGTAAAGCTACCGGTTCCATTGGAGTTTTCCGCCCCAGATCTTCAGGAGCCGAGCTGCTGCCAACTTTGGCTTTTACATTGCCTACTTTTACCTCTCATCCTCATCATCATCATCATCATCATCATCACCATCATCATCGTCTACATCGCCTACATCACATCATCTACATCTTCAAAATTTCATACATCATCTACATAATCTTCTGCATCATCTACCTCAACATCATCATCTACATCATCTACGCAGGTGCAGACGTGTAAGTGATACAATGCCACTGTGAATTCCCATTCCGCTTTGCGCTGGCATTTCCTGATGCTCACGGTTCTTGGGTAACTCACAGTTCTCTATGATTACCATCTGGCTATTTAACATAGCCATGGAAAATCCCTGAAATAAATGGAGGGCAATTCACTATTTCTTGATCCTTACAGCACCAAATCTTTATGTTTAAACCACAAGCCCCTGATCTGAATCACCAGGTTTTGGTGTTTGAAACTTTGAATCATTCTTTTTCCCATCCCCAGCATTGAATTCCTGCAGTCCCGGAGCCCCAAACTAAATTTTCACGCTCAACATACCAAAACATTTCCAAATATGTATACCAACCACCAAAATATACTAAACAAATAAGTATCCCATGCAATATTTAGATATAGGAAACAAATAAATAGTAATCCCCAAGGTAAGATAGAAAATGGTGGAATCCCAACAAAATAGTGATTGATGACTTTCCTATCTCAATTCGGCGGTTACTTGTTTTGTTTATGAATCACCAGAATGATCCCCCGTAGTGAAATTTAGACCCCAAAAACAAACAGTTACCAAGTGGGTGTTGTTATTCTTCTCATATTCTTATCTGAATATGATTAATATGATGTTATGTTATGTTCATTACCATTAATCACAATAATTACACTTCATTGATATCAAAAAAAAGGACGGTTTATCAATGGTACCATTGGTCTTGGCAAGATGAAAAATTTGGACTTTTCTTGATCGGTTATCTCAGTTAGAAACCTCCAGACTTAAGTATGCATATAGATATTGATATAGATATATACACCTAGACTTCAAGATATTTTTTTACCAAGGTTAAATTTATCCCAGATACATTCACTTAATACATATATATATATATATATATGGAGGTTTCCAAAAAATTGGGTACCCCCAAATCATACATTTTATGTTTGGAGTTTCCATCATAAACATTCCAGCTATTGGGGTAACCACTTCGGCTCCCGGGCAGGCGCAAAGGCGTCGGGTCTCTGGATGTCTTGCACCACAGCTGGGGGCCCTTGGCAGGGGAAGATGCCGGGATGATGGTGAAACATTGACAGTTCACCATCAATATTGGGAAAAATGGTGGTTTAAGCATCAAAAATTAAATATATATATATATACACACACACAGTATACACATAATATGGGAATTTAAGCGTGTCAAGCATGGGGATGTATCCAAGAAAATATGGTGGTTTTTTGGGGGACATATCATGGAATATAATGGGGATGTAATGTGTTCATCATATAGTGGCTCGTGGGTTGGAAGATAGAACAATATGGTTGCTTTTGTCTTTTGTGGATGTTTTAGATTGATAATTGATGTGTCAAATATTACCAGGATAAATGTTTATATAAATACATACATATATATATATATTAGATTGATGATTGATAATTGATCATTTGAAGTCAGCAACCGGAGAGGAGTTTTCCATAAGACAAAACTCTTCGAGGTTGTCCATCCCAAGAATCCCGGTCGCGCGGTGTTTTTTGGTTTCGTTGTGTGTGTGTGTGTCGTATCTTTTTTCGAGGCTTTGACTGGGATACAGAAATTTCTAGTTGTGATTTAGTTGTATTTTTTTCTAACAACTAATGGATTAGTGCCATGTACATGTATACATATATATATATATATCAGTTCGAGGAATGGATCTGCTGGATCTGCGAGGTCGGAAATGTGTCGTTCATGTGTTTCCTACAAGCGGCTCGATTTGTTTTGTTCGCAGAAAATGATGGGAGTTTTGGTGGCGAATGGCCTGGTTTAACCTTTATGATAAACAATACATGATATATGATTCATGTTTCCTTCCACAAAAGCTTTGAAACAATACATCCTGACTGAAACTGATTCTGAAAAAGATACTGACTTTAAAAAAAAAAAACGCCCAATGGCGGATTCATAGATGGTTGTTCTCATCAGGTGATCGGCCCTGGAATATCTCAATGCCCAGCCAATCACGATACCATTAAAATGATGGAATTTGTGGAAATGATGGATATGTTGTGATATCTTTCACCAATGATGTTGATATATTTAACGACAATACTCATCAAAAAGGATCGGCAATCGGAAACGGAAACCCTGTTGGATTTCCTGTGTTCGTCGAACCAATTCCAGACACCAGTTTTATTCTGGTTGGTGGTTGAGCCATCCCTCTGAAAAATGATGGAGTGAAAGTCAGTTGGGATGATGACATTCCCAATATATGGAAAGTCATAAAATTCATGTTCCAAACCACCAACCAGTATTTGATTTTGCTTCGAAGATTTGGTTAGAACTCGAATCCCCATTTTGTCTGGTTAACTCACTGAAATCCGAAGCAGATCACTCTTGGGGAAACTCCCCATGGTTTTCCCACAATCTTTTTGTGGGAAAGAAACATCACCCCAAGAATCCATCAAATTCCTTCAAATCCATTCAAATCGCATTAAAGTCCCATAAAATCCATAAAGACATATTTGAAAATGCTATCCATTAGAATCGCCATGAAAATCCTCCCCATTTGCCGCAGTTTCCGCCTTTTTCCTTCACGCCAGCAGCACCTGCCCTCCACCCAGGGAGGCGTTGCGCACCACGTTGTGCAGCGGCTGACCCTTGGCCAAGGCCATCAGATTGGCTGCAGCCTGACATCACCAGAAAAGCTATGGAACAAGCGGAAACCAATGGTTTTGTCAAGGAGTTCACCCTGAAGAATTGTGGATTTCACTCAAAAGCCTGAAAAATGTGGGGTTTCACTGATTGAAGCCTGACAAATTTGGGGATTTAATATAAAATCAACAATAAAAAGAATGAATCTCATGAGCAAACATGGGTCACCCAGGGTCACCCCATTTGGGATTTGGGATTTGCGACCCATCTCTGAAGATCGAATTTTGCGGAGCCTGAAGGCCCCTACTTCGCTAAGTTGGCTTAGAAGTAGATTATCTAGGGGTTATAGGTTGTGGCAGATATAATACCCTCTGGTTATTTAACAGTTTGCCATGGAAAGATCCACCATGCTATTAATAGGTAAACCATCTATTTTGATTAGGGACATGGCTTCCATGGCTATGTTAAATAACCAGATGTTATATCATTTATCCATACTTAGGCGTGTGAGCCAACGAACACAACTGAGCGGGGGCCTTTCCTTCTTACCTGTTCGAGTTGGCTGTCCATCAGCAACGTCTGCGCAAAACAACGTCCCACATCTCAGCCTGGTCCAAAGTCTCATTGTGGGCTTCCAAAGTATTCACCGAAACCTCACATCAGTCAGATTTTCAGGACCCTAAAATGAAGGTACTGTACCATTTTTGGCCATATTTGGTGGGGATATTCCCTCACATAGTAGATACCTGCAGTTTAGGTTCCTGAAATGACCATAAAAATCAGAGGTTTCTGAATCATGCGCAAGATCGGGACCCTGCAAGCCGGAATATTTGTTCGTCAGCTAAAAACCAGATCTATTTTGAAGATGAAACCAGGAAACAAAACATTTACCCTCTGGTAAACTAACATAATTATGGAAAATCACCATTTTTAATGGCTAAATCCACGAACTTTCTATGGGCCATGGCTTCCATGGCTATGTTAGTTTACCAGAGGGTAACACCTGGCTGGGTGCCTCGACTTGGAACCCCCCAATGACATAGCACCATCGTTGTCTATGTTTCAGATGTTGCAACTACTGTGGTAACCCAAATTCTAAGAAAAACCTTTTGGTTGGTATGTTAGTGTAATACAAAGGTGTCCTATTGTTTTTTGTTATATAAATATACATATCACCTTGTAATTTCAAGCGCGTTGTCTCCGAAGCTGTTGCAGAAGCTGTTGTTGAAGTTGGAGAGCAAGCTGTCCACAAAATGAATTGCAAACAAGCTGCATGCGGCGTCATCCAAACTTAGAATGCCAGATTTTGAAGAACCAGAGGGTACATTCAGGGTACCCTTTTTTGTGCTATGGTCAAGTTACATGGTACCCTCCGGCAATCAAACGTGCATCCATCCCATGCTGGAAGTCCTTATGATGGGCATATAAATCTCTATTGTATAATGGACTGATGACCATCCTCCTATCTACCATGGCACTTTTTTGGTGGGGCTTCATAGTTTGGAGAATTTCGTACCTGCGGATTGGTGTCCCAATCTGAACCCTCTGGGTTCAACGTTTACACTTTGCGAACTGGAGAGATCCACCGTTTTTAATACGGAAATCAACTAACTATTTCTATGGTCATTTTCAATAGCTATGTTAGTCATTACCAGAGGGTTTTTTTACCATATCCCATTTTCCATGGCTAACTGGTGTTGTTTCACTGGGGCGGAATCCATCTTAACTTGGGGACCCTGAAACCCATGGTAAATGATTGGTGATTCGGGGCGGAATCCATCTTACGAAACAGACAAAATTACTTTACTTCGTGTGATCCCCACCATGACATTTATACATTTTCTTACTGGCAAATCTTCTGGCATTCTATCTGACATATCTTCTGACATTCTATTTGGCATTCTATCTGGCATATCTTCTGGCATATGATCTGGCATATCTTCTGGCATTCTATCTGGCATCTTCTGGCATTCTATCTGGCATATCTTCTGGCATTCTATCTGACATATCTTCTGGCATTCAATCTGGCATTCTATCTGGCATATCTTCTGGCATATATTCTGACATATCTTCTGGCATTCTATCTGGCATATCTATCTGGCATTCTTCTGGCATATCTTCTGGCATATCTTCTGGCATTCTATCTGGCATATCTTCTGGCATATATCTGGCATATCTTTGGCATTCTATCTGGCAAATATCTGGCATTCTTCTGGCATTCTTCTGGCATTCTTCTGGCAAATCTTCTGGCATTCTATCTGGCATATCTTCTGGCATATATTCTGACATATCTTCTGGCATTCTATCTGACATATCTTCTGGCATATATTCTGACATATCTTCTGGCATATCTTTCTGGCATTCTATCTGGCATATCTATCTGGCATATTTTCTGGCATATTTTCTGGCATTCTATCTGGCAAATCTTCTGGCATTCTATCTGGCATTCTATCTGGCATATCTTCTGGCATATTATCTGGCATTCTATCTGGCATATCTTCTGGCATATATTCTGACATATCTTCTGGCATTCTATCTGGCATTCTATTTGGCATTCTATCTGGCATATCTTCTGGCATATCTTCTGACATTCTTTCTGACATTCGTTCTAACTTTTTTCTGCACATTCTTTGTCCCATATCTTCCTACATGAGGTCCGGCAGGGAACACTTGGCGTGGATACTGGCGGTTGAGGTGCGGCAGGGGAACACTGGGCGTGGATGGTCGTGGTTGAGGTCCGGCAGGGGACACTGGGCGGGGATGGTCGTGGTTGAGGTCCGGCAGGGAACACTGGGCGTGGATGGTCGTGGTTGAGGTCCGGCAGGGAACACTGGGCGTGGATGGTCGTGGTTGAGGTCCGGCAGGGAACACTGGGCGTGGATGGTCGTGGTTGAGGTCCGACAGCGAACACTGTGGATCGCGAGTCGCAGTTGAGCAGGAGGACGAGGAGGACGAGGAGGACAACGAGAGGAGGAGGACAACGAGAGGAGGAGGAGAGGAGGAGGAGGAGGCAGGAGGAGGAGGAGGACCAGGCAACTTAGATAAAATCTAACAACCCTCACCTGGCAGGTGGGGAAAAAAGGCCAGATATACCCTCTCGTAAACAAACAGTTTGCTATTGAAAATGGCCATAGAAATAGTTGCCCATTAAAAATGGTGATTTTCCATAGTTATGTTAGGTTACCAGAGGGTATCCAATATATCCATTGTACTTATCAGTTCTAGTATCGCAGCCAAAATATCCCTTTCTTTCTCTCTGTTGCTTCGAAGAATTCTGTACCGTTGTTGGGCCATATGGCTTACACCAAGGAAGACCTTAGATGACAATAACATGCAGCCACGGACACCAAACAGAAACACAGTTGTCGCTTTATCCGGCGATCTGAACATCAATCAAAATCAAGAAAACTATGTGTATATATATATATATGTGTATTGTATATACATATACATATGGAAAATGTCCAGCTTTGCAAGTACAGTTCCACTTATATATATATGTGGAATGAGTTCACCATAAGTGGATATAGTTCACCATAATTGATAGGGGCCCCACATCCCAGCAATCATGGAGGCTGGTGAAACACCATTCCAATATCCCACAGCCACAATTCCGTAAGCTCTGGCCGAGCACGCGAGCACCAAGTGCCAAGGCCCGTCCACCAAGAAACGTTGGGCAAACTGCTGAAGTTGTAGGTCGAGGGCCAGGTCCCATTCCTGGAGATGTCGGCACTCGGCACCGCGAAAAAGTTGTGGATCGTCCATTTCAAGAGGCCCAAAAAGATTTACCCATTGAATAGCTGGTGATTTTCCATAGTTATGATGGATAATTATGATGGATAACTGGTTGGTGGTGCAAAAAATCACCATCTTGAAAAATGATGGAGTGAAAGTCAATGGTTGAAGGATGACATCCCATATATGAAATGGAAAATAACATTCATGTTTGAAACCACCAACCAGTATGCAGATCATGTTGATAAAGCATCCAAGATAATCCAAGGAAAAAAATGTCCATTTGTGTCCTACAAATCATCGGAAGATGGTTGTGACCCTGACTCAGGTAGTCGAACCCGGCTATGACAAATTCTCCAGTTCCAGTATATCAATCCAATTGCAAGTGTTTTCCCCAAAAAAAACATGTCTTACCCTCTGGTAATTTAACATAGCTATTGAACATGACCATTTATAGTGGATTTGCCCATTGAAAATTGTGATTTTCCATAGCTATGTTAGTTTACCAGAGGGTACACGTCTTTTCTAGCCAGCCGTGTTTGATTCCGAGATCGATAAATCTTCGTGGAGTCCACGAATCTCTCAGAGGTTTCGGTTTCCCAAAATGTTGGTCCCCCCAGATCATCCTGGGAATGGTAAACATACATACCACCTATACCAATGGTAATTTAACATAGCTATGGAACATCACCATTTTTAATGGGAAAATCCACTATAAATGGCCATTTTCAATAGCTATGTTAGTTTACCAGAGGGTATACCAATACCAATGGTGATTTTCCTGGGGGATGATTTACCCTCTGGTTATGTCAACAGTTTGCTATTGAAAATGACCATAGAAATAGTGGATTTTCCCATGAAAAATGGTGGATTTTTCAATAGCAAACTGTTAAATTACCAGAGGCTATTTTTGTTTTACCCAACATTAACCGGATGTTCGGCCCCCCATTTTATGGAACCCCCTATAGAAAAATCTCTTCGGATGGCCAGTCCCGCTGTCACGATTTATGACCGAGCAACTGGAACCAGGAGAAGTCGTTCCACCACACATCCAACACCGCACCACCTCAACGTGCTGCGGTGCCGGGTGACCGCTGAATGATGGACCAAAAAAAACACTGCCAGGAAGTCCTCAGAAGGAGTTTTCTGCAAATCTGGAGTACGAAAAAATTATCAAAAAAAATGTATGATGAATGTATGCGTCCATCTATCTGCCTGTCTGTCCGTCTGTCCATCCGTCTGTCTCTGTCTGTCTCTACGAATTGTGTCTATCGATCCGTCTGCTGGTCATCCCTGAAATATAGTTCTTGGATGGTACTCAGAGCATATCACAGGTATCATCCCAACAAAACTGTTTGGAGTCATAGCCCACCAAGTAATACTACAAAACCTGTATGAAAATCCTTGTCAAATCCCATAAAAAACACCATAACCCATGAGAATACATATAAATACCAAATGTTTTGAATAACCTTTGCACCCCTTTGCACCCACAAAAATTGCCCGAGCCCAGGCCTATCTTCTCACCTTGTAGGGCTGCCCAGAAGGGCACTTCGTCCACAATGGGACCACGGGCGATGTTGATCAGCACTGCATCGGACTTCATCAGTGACAGCTCCTGGCAGAATTTTTCCGAAGATATCAGACATGGGACCCTATTCAATCGGAAAAAATCACTAGATCCACAAAAAATCCAGATTTTTTCTGTAGATTTCCCACATATAGGGGGATTGGATTACGGATTCTCCACCAGAACTTTTCAGCCATGACGAAGCGATGAGCGTTTCTACCGAGGGGATTCGGGCTGCTTTAGCTTGCCAATCTGAGAATGGGGGATTGAACCCACCAAATATGGCAATGTTTTTGGCAACCCCCCTCCAAAAAAAAAATGGTTTAATCATATCCCATTGTTTGTCATGTAAATCCCCACTATAGTTCATTTTTTTTGGCGGGGTTCTCAACCGTTTCAGATACCAAAACCATGCGCAGCCGTTAAAAATCCCCCTAACCCATCCCATCTCATAAAATATAGTTGAAAACGGTTTTCCATTCATATGGTTAGTTCATAATCACAGAGAGTATAAATTCTTATTTCACTAAAAAACAGGAATCGGAATATGTGTCAACTATATATTCCACCCCCTACGTTGGATGTTTAAATCCCACATCATCCATAGTTCATAACAGTCATAACAAACCAACCAGGGTATGAACGGCTAATGTCACACCACCCAACCCGAGCCGTCACCACAGCCTTGACACCAATCATGTTGCGCGTGGCCGGTAGCAGAGGCACGGCGACCACCACGAAATCCGACTCGGCTAAGAGCCGTGGAAGTTGATCATCAGTGCCTCAAAGTTTGCTGTCGCAAATGGAGGTTGAATTATTTTTTTAATATGTTTTAATATGTTTTGATATGATTCTAGATGGTCTTCAACCGGGATAAAGATGGGCATACTGGGAGAATTGGATAGGATTTCATAATGTTGTGAAATCGATATCGGGGCGCCCACTTGAACCGGTGCCCAGAACCCCACTTTGAGGGTGGTGAAGCAGCCCAAGTTTGTGCATCTTACATGGTAAATGGTTGGTAAGCATGTGTATTTACATATGCAAATTATGTATGTATAGACAATTATTGTATATAGTGTTCAGGAACCATGTTCCTTGTATATTGCTGGGGCAATTATAACTAAGAAAACAACCAAATGATTATTCACACCACAGTAGCAATTAGACACATATTCAAAAACCTTCATCAACAATTGGCAAAAACCATGATTTGGGGTCAACAACCACCCCAAAATCTGCGAAGAAAAAAACAAATCAGTTGAATTATTAAACCCCGACTTCTGGGGGTAAACGAGACTCAAATCGCAATTTGTTGACCCCCTTTCACATCAATAGAAAAAAAAGATCCCGACTTCAGTCTAGATTTTCTATGTATTGAGATGTATTTGATATTTTTGGAGAGACCTATACTCAATAAACATCAATAAACTACAATCATCTCAAATCCCAATTTTTGAATTTTTACCCTCTGGTAATTTAACATAGCTATTGAAAATGGCCATAGAAATAGTGAGTTTTCCCATTAAAAATGGTGATTCCCCATAATTATGTTAGTTTACCAGAGGGTAAATCACCATTTATAGTGGATTTTCCCATGAAAAATGGTGATTTTCCCATAGTAAATCCCAGTTTCATTGCCACAATCCTTGGCCTGTGATGTTTCGGGCCCCGCCTATCCACGCCACCCCTGGTGGTGTCACCGCCGGCGGCCGCGCGTCCACCGCCACGACACGCATCTGAAGCCCCAGAGCGCGCGTGGCCACGCCGCGGCCGATGGTGCCGAAGCCAATAAGGCCCACCTTGGTCAACGCTTGTTGTCATGAGCCGGTGGTATCACTCCACTTTACCTCCGGTCATCAATCTATGTGTATGTATGTATATATATATATATGTGATGTATATTATATATGTATATTATTATATATGTATGTTATATAAATATATATTGTATATTATATATGTATATTGTATATTATATATGTATGTTATATATATATTGTACATTATATGTGTATGTTATATATATATGTATATTGTATATTATATATGTATGCTATATATATATTGTATATTATATATGTATATTATATATGTATATATTGCATATTATATATGTATGTTATATATATATTGTATATTATATATGTATATTATATATGTATATTGTATATTATATATGTATGTTACATATATATAGTGTATATTATATATGTATGTTATATATGTATATTGTATATTATATATGTATGTTACATATATATATATAGTGTATATTATATATGTATGTTATATATGTATATTGTATATTATGTATGTATGTTATATATGTATATTATGTATGTATATTATATATGTATATTGTATGTTATATATATATATTGTATATTATATATGTATGTTATATATGTATATTGTATATTATGTATGTATGTTATATATGTATATTGTATATTATGTATGTATGCTATATATATGTATATATATGTATATATATATATTATATATGTATGTTATATATATATTGTATATTAAATATGTATATTATATATGTATATTGTATATTATATATGTATGTTATATATGTATATTGTATATTATATATGTATGTTATATAAATATATATATTGTATATTATATATGTATATTATATATGTATTGTATATTATATATGTATGTTATATATATATTGTATATTATATATGTATGTTATATATATATTGTATATTATATATGTATGTTATATATATATATTGTATATTATATATGTATGTTATATATATATTGTATATTATATATGTATATTATATATGTATATTATATATGTATATTGTATATTATGCGAATAGAGTGTAGGCTACGGAACACTGTACACTCCAACATAATTCAGCCCTCAAGGATCCACAGCCAAAGGGTACGTCAACTCGCCCCTTTGGCTCAAGACTACTGCAGGAACCGGAACAAAGAATTGCAATGCCGAAGCCGCTACCCGTGTGACGTCACCACTGAAACCCCCATTTCAGAATCAAGTACCAGAACATAATCGGGGAGATAATCTCCGATTCTCAGGTTATCAGCCGTAGGACTCCTACGGAGCCTACGAGCGGGGAGCCGCGGGCCTTACAGATGACTGAACAGGATAGCAGCGATAACGCATTTTCTTTTTCTGGACATGCCGTTGCACCAGCTGCCGGCACGCAGTCAAATTCTTCACAGAGTATCGACACTGGTGGAAGCGATGCCTCAGAACTGAGAACAAGCCAACCCAGGCGACAACTGGTTGCTCCTAGAGGGAGACAAATTTCGACAATGCAAGCAATTGAAGATAGGGACAGCACACCTGGAAAGAGAAGATCATCTGCACGACAATTGTCGCCTCCGATGACTCCAAGGACTAAGGCAAAGACTACGTCGTCGAATCCGCCTTCACCGATTCAGGACGCTACTCCATCAGGGACAGGATCTTATCAGCAAGTGAATGCCCCGTCAAGTGGTAGCGACATCTTCACTGCCTATCAGAGTGAATTAACTGAGTACAAAACATCACTGGAAAGGGCCACTGAAGAAGAATCTGTACTTCAGGCAAGATTGAGTGAGACGACAGCATATGCCTATCAACAATTTAATGTCTTGGAAAGCACCACTCATCAAGAGATGATGTCGATGACCGAACAACTCCAGATGCTGAACTTCGAGTTACAGGCTGCACAACAGGAAGATGAAGGTGCGACCTACAGGATCGAAGAGTTGGAAAGGTATCAGACTATGTCGAATGAAGCTGCATCTCATTTGGAATTCAAATATTCACGACTACGTTCGGAATTCGATGAACAAATGGGACAAGCAAACGCAATTATGGTGCATGTGGGCGCTGATGCGAATGCTCACATCAATCAACTCAGACTGGAACTGGAAAACGCAGAGATGAATGCCAAGCAGGAAGCTCTAGCGGTCGGCTATGCTAACGACCAGACATGTGCTTCACAGATCGAGATGCTCGAGGTTGCTAATCAGAACCAGACGATGAAGCACACCATGGCCATGAACGTCAGGCGACTGGAAACTGAGCTCGATGCTGCTGACATGAAGAGGGACGAGATCATGAAGGAGTTCCGTAGTAACATAAGATCTGAACATGACCGTTATGCAGAATGTGAACATCACTTAGCTTTGGAAGAATCGCAACTTCGATTGCAGGTGATCCACAATGAGAACTTACAATCTCGACTAGCGATTTCTGAGAACAGGGTTTCTGAAGAATCTCTAGCTGAATCAGGCGGCATGCGGGACATGAGGATAATGGGACTACGTTCTGAATTACACATGAAACAAAGTCTTTTAGATCGAATGCAACAGCAACTGACTGAATCGAAGAATCAGTATCATGAACTTTCCTGTCAACAAGCCAGAAGATCGTCACCGAGCAGATCACCGCATGGAGGACCTCTATACGAGATGTACATGCAAGCCGTGCGTGAACGTGACAGCTTGAAAGAATCCAAGGCCGAAGTTGACAAGTTGTACTTGCAGAATAGATCTGAACTCATTGATACTGAGGACCTGCTCAAAGTATTCCAGCGAAACTTTGATGAAACTGGTAAGAAATATCAAGATGCTCTGAACAAGATCGATCACATGAGCAACAATCCGAATGTGACGAGTACCTTGTTTGACAGTTTGCACAATGAACTCAATGACAGGGATACAGCTATTGCTCGCCTTCATACTGAACTTGAAGCCCAAAAGGACTCTCTTGAGCGTGCTCACAGGGATGCAGGTAAGTCCATCAAGATGTTGAACGACAGAAGACTCGTGATCAAAGGTGCGACTGACTATTCCATTCCTGAAAGCCATTTGACCGAGATGCATCAATTGGCCAATGAGCGTTACGCTGAGGGAGAAGAAATGTCGAGCACCATTGCTGCCCTGAAGTTGGAAAACCAAGCTCATTCTTCTTCATCAATGAATAGACCGACTACATTACATGGGTACCCCAGTAATGCCATGCCTCGGAATGAATGTGAAGAGAAGTGTGCCAAACTGAAAGCAGAGTTGGACGAGATGAAGCAAGAGAGGAACGCTGAAGTTCGAAATCTTCAAGATGAGTTGAAGAAGATGGAAGATCGTAAAGATTACTATAAGAACAATTTCTCTCAAGCTGAAGATCGTGCCAATGATGAAGAGCAGGAATACCGAGCAGAAGCTGAAGCCTTCGAGAAGCTCAGGAACGAGTACAACACAAATGTCAAGGAGTTGGAGAACCTTGAAAGGGATAGATCCAAGTCATCTGTATCTCTAAGAGAAGCCGAAAAGATCAGCCTCCAACCCTGGCCTAAGACCACTGAACTTTCATCCTGGAAGGGAAGTGTCGTTCATGAAGTTTGTGTTGCAAGTGGAGATCGAAACTATGAAGATTGGAAAGCATGGCTAGCTCCGTGTCTTGCAGATCAACCTGACTTGGAGGCGCTGGCCAAAGCTCCTGATGTGAGATTCCAATCCATTGATGCCAAGCTCTCCAATGCCTTGAGGAAAGTCATTGACAATGCTGGGGACAAGTCCATGCAAGTGAAGTATGACATGTCCATGAAGAACCAATTGTATGGGAGGAGTGGGGACTTCATCAAGGGACGAGAACTATTTGCAATGATATTGATTAGCTTCAAGTCACCTGACCACACTGAAGTTCTCTACAATGCCCATCATTTGTATATGTTCAACTACTATGGAGATGACCAACTTGAGGCCTTCTACAACAAGTGGCTTGACATCGTATACAATATGAAACATGATGATCTGCCTTCCAATAATTCCCTGCGTGACACGTTGTTCCGGAAGATTGAACATTCAAAGCTTATGGCCTTCGATATCAACCGATACAAAACCTTTGATGAAGGGCATCCCGAGAAGACCTATGCTTACCTAACTGGTATGATAAAGGGATACATAGCACGAGGGAAGCAAGAACGACTGTTGAAAGATAGAGAACGTGCAGTGAAACTGTCATTGTCCTCTAACAAGACGACACCTGCCTTAGAAGATGCAGACAAGCCTGCCGCTCCCGTCAAGACCAAGAAGGAGAATGAAGCGGCTGCATCGTCTACAGGTGATCCTCCCAAACGTCCTAAGGCGAAAGCGAAGAGTGAAGCTGCATCGGTACTTCCTACACCTTCTCCGAAATCCCATGCCGACAAGAACAACAAGAAAGGCAAAGGGTGGAAGGGAAGATCATCTTCACCCGTTGACAAGAAGAAGATTTTCTGTAACTACTTCTTCAATAAAGGAGGATGCAACAAAGGTGACAAATGTCTTTACAGTCATTCTCAGAAGGTCTATGATGCCAAGATGAAAGGTAAGAAAGGCAGAAGCGGAAGTCGAGATTCATCAAGAGGGAAAGGTAGAGGAAGTTCATCTTCAGCTGGACCCAAAAAGAAGGTATGTTGGAATTGGCAAGAGGGTACCTGCAAGTTTGGAAGCAAGTGCAAATTCTTACATGCAGATCGATCGCCTTCAGCATCTTCAGAAAGGACCAGCAAGAAGACACCAAAGAAGAAAGCGACTCCCATTACCATTGATTCCTTCTTTGATAGCGACAATGAAGATTCTATGGATTATACCTCACCGAGGATAGCCAGTGCAAAGAAGTCTTCTGATGATCGCAGGATCTCATTTGATCTGGAACCTGAGGTGCACGAGATCGCCATTGATGACTACCAGGAGGGACTACCCAAACGTATGTATCGTGACCCCAACAAGCAATATGTTTTCTGGAAAGTCGATGATTTGACCGACGATCAGTCCAAGTCCGACAACACCCTCGGTTCAGTTCGGGCACGGGCCAAGGCTATCATCATGGACAGATGTGGACTCCATCGTT